TACAGGAGAAAGGGAGGGAAGAGAGAGAGCTGGATGTCTGAGCACTCTATGCCCACCATTGTGGTCTCTTGGATGGATCCAAGTTCAGCTCTTAGCTCAGGAGGAAGTCAATGAAATTTACACTACCCTCACAGGTTCTGAAAGAGTGGTTCTAAACACACTGCAGAAATAATCCAGTTTGTGACTCACCGCTAGGGAATCCTGGGAATTGGAGTTTATCGTGGTACCAGAGCTCTCTAGCAGAGAAGGCCAAATGTATCACAAAACTACAGTTCCCAGAATTCCCTATCATTGAGCCAGGACAGTTAAAGTGGACTCATACTGGATTATTCCTGCAGTGGGTTGTGGACCAGTGGGGCCCAAAACCCGCTGCTTCTTTCCTTTCCATCTGGTAGCTGATTAGTGTGGGGTGAGGAGAGGGAGAATGAGATAGTGGGGGAAAACATTCGAAGAACATTGCTAGATGATAGTAAAAGTTTCTCTAGTTCAACACCTTGTTCCCTAGTGTTTAGCTACTTGGCTATGGGAAGCTCATGAACAACTTCTCAACAACCTCCATAGAGGAACATATTGCCCCTCACACTGGAAGTTATTTGTAGCTATCCTGACCAGGAGCCATGGAGGGACCTGACCTACACCAATCTGTCTATCCTTCTTTTAACTCCAACTCAGTTGGTATCCACTACTACATCTAGTGGCTGTGAATTCCACCCACAATTCACACCTATGCTATGAAGTATGTCCTCTTAACTGTCCTGAATCTTGAAGTACTGAGTTTCAGTGGATGAGGCTGGAGGTCCCAGCACTATTAGAGAGGGTGAATCAGAATCAGAGCCAAAACTAGGTGAGAGACAGTATGCAAAGAGATCTAATGTAGACTAACTCAAAGAAAGAAGTTGGTAATATGAGCTTTCCTAGACTTGAGCCTATTTCCTCAGATGCATGTTTTAGGAATGAATTGAGGAAGCAGCCTCAAGTCTGCTACTACCAGCTTCTTTCTTTAGTTTAAAGGTGCTAGAAGATCCCTTTACATACTGATTTTCCAGACTAACACAGCTATGTCTTTGAATTCTACCAGGGGGAGTCAGAGAGAGAGAAACTGCTAGTCTTTGAAGTTGCCCTTCAACTCCCAGAATTCTTGACTGTTTTCTAAACTTCATGGGGCTTCTGGGAGTTGAAATCCAAACCCCTGGAGGACCAAAACTTGGAAACCACTGGGGTTTCATCTCCCATGATAGCGACAGCTCCATCTGTTGGTATTTGGCTGCTTCCCCTTCAATGGGAACATGCATCGGAGGTAGTCGGCTCAATTCTACAAAAGCTCATGCTACTAGATTCCTTCTTTCATTTGATTTCAAAGGTGCTACAAGACTTTGCAGACTTTCAATGGGAAGTGAAAGGAGCTCTCCGAGGTTCTGGGCTTCCTTTGGCGAGATTTCCCACATGTTGGACAATGCCTGTCAAGTCTGGAATAAAACCTGGAGAGGAGTCCTTGCCTTGCTAACCGAAAAGCCCTCTGCCCCCAATCTGGTCCCCTTACACATGTTAAAGAGTAGAGCTCACATAATCTCCAGCCAACAGTCATTCAAGCTGAAGCTGATGGGAATCGTAGTCTAGAAATATCAGAATGTTAAATCTGTGGGGGAAGGCACAGAACTGCAGAACCTCCCTAAATCGTCTCCCCCCAGCTCCATTTCCATTCCCACCCCACTATCCATCTCCCTTCTGCTCTGGGACCACAGCAAACTACAGTTCCCAGAATTCCATAGCATGGAACCATGGCAGTTAAAAAGCCATATCAAACCAGATTATTTCTGCAATGTGGATGCAGCCTCAGATTTTAGAAGTCAGGCCAGTTAACTTTAAAACAAAAGCACATACCACTCGAATTCTTTCTCTTTTATGTCCACTCAAGAATTGGGTTTGTAGTCTCTGCTTCTCTTTTTCAGTCCTTCCCCTCTTTCATGGTGGGAGTCATGTGATTCATTTAGAAATTGTTGGACTGCATCTCCAAGAAGTCCTCATCATTCATTGTGCTGGCTAGAGCTGCTGGGAGTTGCAGCTCAACAAGCTTTGGAGCAGGGGTCAGCAACCTATGGCCCAAGGGCTGGGTATGGCCCGCAGAGGCCTTGGAACTGGCCTGCGGCTGATCCTGCCACCAGCCCATGTGTGCCGCCACCAGCCCGTGTGTGCATCCAAAATGGGTCCCGCACTTGTGCATGCAGGTGCACGGCAGCGGGTGCCATTTTGGAATGCCCAATGCACTGGCATTGTGCACATGACGCATGACGCTGGCATGTTGGGCATTCCAAAATAGCATCTGCTGCTGTGCACATGCGTGCACAAGTGAAGGAGCCATTTTGGATGCAAAAATGGCACCCGCGCTCATGCACGCATGTGCCCGCAAGCACGGGTGCCATTTTGGAAGGCCCCACGGTGGCTGCGCCATGCGAATTCGCAGGGTGCAGCTGCCGTGAGGCCTTCCCTGGGCCTTGGGAATGCCCCCACACACGTGCGCTGGGCGAATTCACATGGTGCATGCACGGGGGGCATTCCCAAGGCCCCCCACCCATGCGCCAGGTGAATTTGCATGGCGCACATGCAGGAGATGTTCCCAAGGCCCAGGGAAGGCCCCCCCGCCCGTGCGCCGGGCAAATTTGCACGGCGCACAGGCAGGGGGGCTTCCAAAATGGCACTACCCACACATTCACGTATGTGCAGGGGAAGCATGCACATGTGCAAGCATGGGGGGAAGCGCGCGTGCACATGGGCCCACCCGGGCCCTGCGCCATTCCCCCCCTCCCAGCCCCCCAGCAACAAAGATTGCCAACCCCTGCTTTGGAGAGTACCAAGATTCTCACCCGGGGGGGGGGGAGAGAGATCCCTCAACTTTGTCACACAGTTTATAGGCAGAAAATAGGTGATGCGATGGATAGAGAGACAGATAGATCTCTCCTGCACTTTCCCACCCATCTAGTTCATAGGCAGAGAAGATGCATGGATGGATGGACAACAATAACAATAACAGGCCTGTGACTAATATTGTCATTTTAAAAAAATCTCTTGTATGAGCTCCAACACCTTTGCCTGATGAAGAAGCCAATGGAGCTTCAAAAGCTTGCATCATGTATTTTGTGCATTTTTGTTGTTCAAATAAAGGTATCGCTGTTTTGTAGATTTTAGAAGTAACTGTGCTGAGGCTAAAGAAGAACTGGATTGGAGTCAATCACATTTTGCCAGGTGGATTGGCAGTAGTGTCAGAAACATCTACTGGAGCTCCATAAGTTGTTGGGAAAGAGTGGCTACAGAAAAGACCAGGCCTTCTCTGTGATGACTTGACCATCCATTCAACCAGATCCTCCTCTTCAAGTCAAAAGGACCTCATAAGCCACTATATAACCAACAGAGCAAAAAAAATATCTACTGGAATCAATGGCATCCAATCAAATCTGCATTTCCATAAATGATATTTAGTACAAACAGAAATTCATAATATTACATTATACACACAATCAGATTAAAACAAAGATTAAAGGCAACAACAATTAGAACACTATCAAAGCCACCAGACATACCGTAGTTTATTTTTATGTCTTTTAGTTGGCTTCCATTTGCAGAAATAAAGAAGTTTGACACCACTTTAAATTCCATGACTCACTGCTATGGAATTCTGGAATTTGTAATTTGGTGGGGGCACCAGAGGTCTCTGTCAGGGAAGACTAGTATCTCACAAAACGACAAATCCCAGAATTCCAGAACACTGAGTCAAGGAGGGCCATAGTTGTGCTTCCTTGCTTTACAACTGCAGCTATTAACCTGTACCTTAAACTAAGAGCCTTTACAGACTGCCAGAAATAATGCATCTTGAGACCACTTTAACTGTCCTAGGTCAACACTAGGGAATTATGGGAATTGTAGGTTTTTTTCTGAGACATGGAACCTTCTCTGTCAGAGAGCTCTGGTGCCACAATAAACTACAGCTTCCATGATTCCCTAGCACTGAGTCAGGGCAGTTAAAGTGGTCTTGAGCTGCATTATTTCTGGCAGTCTGTAAAGGCCCTAAGTCTCCCTGGATAGATGTAGTGGTTTGAGCATCAGACTAGGACTCTGGAGAAAAAGGTTTGACTCCTGGCTCAGCCATGTAAACCCACTGAATAACCTTGGACAAGTCACACTCAGCCTCAGAGGATGACAATGGCAAATCCCCTCTGAAGAAATATGCCAAGAAACCCTGATGGTAGGTTCACCTTATGGTCACCATAAGTCAGAAATTACTTGAAGACACACAACAATAATAAAGTACTGATGCAGTGGGTGTGGTCTTAAAATACTCTATCTTATGCAGGGTATCACAGAAAAGTGTCATCTGAACTGGTTGCATTTTTGAAATGTAACTTATTTCTTTATTGTTGATGAGCAAAATCTGTTGACTGATCTAATCAGTAAGATCTTGCAAAACCACTTGTTAGCTATGCTCTTCACCAATTGTGCATGTGCATGTCAATGGGACAGTGAATCTCTATTTTGAGTTTGAATGTGAATTTTGAAAGAGCTATCCATATAGGCTCAGCATCTTGGATGCTGAACCTTGGTGCTGGACCTACTTGAATAGCTCCTTTAGACTAAAACCTAGAATGGATTATCCACCCCACTGACATACAAACCACAGCTGCCAAACTAGGTATGTATTAAGTATCTATATAAGGCAAGTAAGGTGAGGTCTGTGGTCTTGCCCAATATTCCTCCCACTGCCACTGATCTGCTCTTTCCTCTTATTTGCCCACTTTGACCGTCCATACAGTAGCTGGAAAAACCTTGTTTAATGCCCAAGGCTTTTTGTTATTGTTGTTGTGTGGCTTCAAGTAATTTTTGACTTACACTGATCCTAAGCCAATTTATCATGGACTTTTCTTATCAAGATTTGCTTAGATTTGTTTGTCATTACCTTCTTCTTACACTGAGGCAGTGTGACTTGCTCAAGGTCACTCAGTGGGCTTCCATGGCTGAACATGGTTTTGAACCCTGGTCTCCTGGAATCCTAGCCCAACACTGAAACCACTACACCATGCTGGCTCTTATGTTGTGGTGACACTAAGCATGGCCCATAATTTTGAGAGCTGTAGTCTGACATATCTGAAGGGTACCAAGGAAGGGCAGGTTAGTTTAGAACAGGGGTAGGCAACCTTTCCCCTTTAAGGGCCAAGGGACTTCAGCTCCCAGAATCCCAGGAGCTATTGGCCAACATGGGACTATTGGCCAACATGGCTGAGGCTTCTGGGAGCTGAAGTCCCTCGGCCCTTAAAGGGGAAAGGTTGCCTACCTCTGGTTTAGAAATTTGATGTTGGGGCCCACAGCTGTTTTGTTATGTGGCAGTGGTAGTAGTGGTGGCAGTGGTGGTTCTAGCTTGTATTCATCTCCAGAAGTATGTCTAGACAGTCATAGGAGTTATATACCACTTGTTTATACCAATATTTGGAGGATAGAGTTCAGCACCTGTGGTAGCCCTTTTAAAGTTCAGACTAAAATTGGAGCAGACTCACCATTCCACTGATATGGAAGCCATCAGCCTCCATTGAATGAACTCTTACTTAAAAGTAAAGAAACACTGAAATCAAAAGAATTCATTTTAGATTAGACATCCCTAAGGGTGTGTCCACACTGAAGCAATAAATACTGAATGGTTTTAACTGCTTGACTTAAGGCCTAAGCAGACTGCCAGAAATAGTGCACATTAAATTGAGGCACTGCCCTGGCTCAGTGCTAGGGAATCATGGGAATTGTATTTTTTTCTGAGACATTGAGCCTTCTCTGTCAGAGAGCTCTGGTGCCACAATAAATTGCAGTTCCCATGATTCCCTAGCACTGAGCCAGGGTAGTGCCTCAATTTAATGTGCACTATTTCTGGCAGTCTGCAAAGGCCCTCAGTGTTCTGGAATTCTGGGATTTGTCATTTTGTGAGATACTAGTCTTCCCTGATAGAGACCTCTGGTGCCCCCACCAAATTACAAATTCCAGAATTCCATAGTAGTGAGTAATGGAATTTAAAGTGGTGCCAAACTTCTTTATTTCTGCAATTGGAAACCAACTAAAAGACCTAAAAATTAACTATGTCCCCATAAAACTCAAATACAGGGGTCCCCAAACTACGGCACATGGGCTGGACCTGGCCCATCGAGGCCTTTTTATTGGCCCACGGCCAGTCCTGCCATCGCCGCCGCCACTGCTATCATGCATCACTGGACACCATTTGTATTCCAAAATGGCATCTGGAGTCATGAGCATGCGCTCGGCGTTGCACACTCATGCACACGACTCCGAGTGCCATTTTGGAATACAAAACAGTGCCGGAGTAGTGCACATGTGCACGCAACGTCAGGTGCTATTTTGTATTCCAAAATGGCATCCAGAGTTGTGCGCATATGCCCGGCATCGTACACGCATGCACAC